ACAAAACAAACAAACAAACAAAAAAAAAAAAAAAAAACTGGCCCTTGTTTCTAGCCCCATCTATGCTTTTAGAAATGCTAGCAAGATTTTAAGTTTCAGCTATACTGAGTGTAAATTCCTTTAATATAAATCTTGACTTGTTGAGCAAATAAAGACACACTTTGGGTGATATTTGTACCCATTTGAATAAGATAGAAGAGTCTATTGATTGCTGAGAAAACAAAGATGACCCAAAGGCAGCCACATAAAACTGCCTAACAGTTAATGGGTCCCAGAAGACCCTATGAGAATAAGAATTCCCTAAAGAAAAAAATGATTGAGATGGATAAAGCAAGTACTAAAAAGTTATTCTTTGTTGAATAATTGTATCAGTGGGATGCAGATACAGTTATCTTGTGAAATACAGCTGGTTTATTCAGGGTCAAGGTCTTTTTAACAGGCTTTGTTCTGTAAACATACTTTCTCTTTTTTAGTCTCTGTTTGATCCTGGGAACCAGGAGTACATCTAGACATATTTCACAGAAAGAATTTACTTGATTTTGCTGTTTAAAAAAATTGTCTTACTGATAGAAACTCACTTGGCAATGGGTCAGGGTTCCCAAGATTGACTGGGGATGGTGGATGGCAGTATCAACTGTGTGCCCTGCAGTGGATCCCTGAATGCGGCACCTTTTTGTATGTTGGCATGCATTTCTTTTCTCACATGGTCCCTTTTCTTTGGAAGTTTCATCACACTAGCTGATCCTCTGGTCTTGAAGTTCTTTTTGGTTAGAAGGTGTTTGGTGCTTCCCCACCCTCCCCCACCTTTATCTACTAGCCTCCCAAAGACTTAGTTTGCTTTGCATGCCTATTTTAGTGGAATGGCAATAGTTTGGTTGTTTTGAGCATGTCTTTTAATTTTTATTTGCGTAATCCTAATTTCTATTTCCTTTCTTTCCTGGATGTCTGCTGCACCTTGTTTCGCCTCCTCCATTCATCACGACGCCATGGTTCCGCTGCTCCATAACAATGCATTATGAACCTGCCACTCCCATATGCAAACACCTACCCTTCCCTCCAACCTACATCCCTCCATCAATGGGCATCGTTGTCCCACAAACAATTTGTGGTGGATGTCACAATGCTTATTATCCAATTAGGGTGAAAATTCCTTCCTACAGGCAACCGTGGCAAAATTGGGGCCTCTCCCTCGTGTTCTTGCTGATATCACCAAGTCTCTGACTAATCCTACACCAATACAACAGCAACTGAGACGCTTCACTGAGCATAACTCCAGTCCAAATGTCAGTGGAAGCCTCTCCTCTGGGCTGCAGAAAATATTTGAAGACCCCACTGACAGGTATGAAAGAGAGTGTTTGAACTAGAAAAAGATAAGGTTTATATTTGGCAGAAAAATATTTAACTTATTTGTTGAATTTTACAACTTTAAAGTCATGAGCAATGGAAAAGAATTTTCTGACCTAGATAAATTGTTTGTCATAGTAATGCACAAGATCTGGGATAACTTATTTTCTAGAATGATAGTATAGAGTTATATTCAATAAAAGTAATTTTTAAAAATCTGTGTCCTAGGGCTGGCCAGTTAGCTCAGTTGGTTAGAGCACAGTGTTATAACACCAACCTTAAGGGTTCAGATCCCCATACTGGCCAGCTGCCAAAAAGAAAAATAAAAAAATAAATGTGTGTCCTGCTTAATGGAAGACTAAGGGCTTTATGAAATTGATGTTTTTAAATATTGTGACACTCAAAACTCTAGAGAACTCACTGAAAACCATTTTATACCTAGCCACGTCAGCTGGACAGTTGGATACAGTGTTGATGCTTAGACCTTGTTTTCTATTTTGGCAAGACTTGTGCCTTTAGCTGGGACCCTTTTATTATGCACTCAGAGCTTTTCCCCTTGAAGGTTTAGACAGACACAATTAAATATGAATTGGAATGTCTTGGGAGAATTTAGAATCTAACTAGGAAATTATTGGAATTCTGGTAAAAACTGAAAAAAAGTGACAGGGTGGTATATACAGTGTTATTCTCTACCTTTGAGGAAAAACTAAAAATGCCAGATTTTATTCTAAGAATTATAATGATGAAATCTGAGTTTCTAAAGAAATGTAAATATCCACATTGGGCCTGTGAACCTGCAGAAGAGTTCATGTGCCTGAATTGAAAAATCTTAACTATGTTGAATTTGCCTCAAGAGTAATTAAGGGTCCCTTCCTGTTCCACAGTGATTTGCATAAACTAAAATCTCCAAGCCAGGACAACACAGACAGCTATTTCAGAGGGAAAACATTATTGCTGGTTCAGCAAGCCTCTTCCCAGAGCATGACTTATTCTGAAAAAGATGAAAAGGAAAGTAGCCTTCCTAATGGTAGGAGCATCTCCCTCATGGACCTCCAGGACACTCATGTTCCAGTGGAGCATACATCTGTCATGCTTGATGTGCCTATGCGCTTGACTGGAAGCCAGCTTTCCATAACCCAGGTGGCCAGCATCAAACAATTGCGGGAAACCCAGAGCACCCCCCAGAGTGCCCCCCAAGTGCGAAGGCCCCTGCACCCAGCCTTGAACCAACCAGGCAGCCTCCAGCCCTTGTCATTCCAGAACCCTGTGTATCACCTCAGTAATCCAATTCCAGCAATGCCAAAGGCCTCTGTAGATTCCAGTTTGGAGAACCTAAGCACTGCCAGTTCCAGAAGCCAAAGTAACAGTGAAGACTTCAAACTCAGTGGACCCAGCAATAGCAGCATGGAGGATTTCACCAAACGTAGCACTCAGAGTGAGGACTTCTCCAGGCGGCACACTGTGCCAGACAGACACATACCTCTTGCCCTGCCACGACAAAATAGTGCTGGGCAGGCCCAAATCCGAAAAATGGACCAGGCTGGGTTAGGTGCCCGAGCCAAAGCCCCGCCATCCCTGCCACACAGTGCTTCCTTACGTAGCACCGGGAGCATGTCAGTGGCGTCTGCAGCCCTGGTGGCCGAACCTGTGCAGAATGGGAGCCGGTCCCGGCAGCAGTCCTCTTCTTCCAGAGAGAGCCCTGTTCCCAAAGTGAGAGCAATTCAGAGACAACAAACACAGCAGGTAGGGGTGAGTGCTGGAGGGGTCTGGTTTCTACTCGGTCCAACTGTTTCTTTGGTTCTTTATACATAAATCATTGGGGAATCTAGTTGCTAACAAGGTTTTCACTTTAAAATATTGCAACCTTTAAATGGAAATAGGAAACAAAAGTTGGGGAGGCTTCTGGCTAGATGAGAGAGCAGAAGGTACTTGGACTCATTACCCTTAGGAGATTCTAACAAACACGCAGGTCCTTTCTATCTCTTCAAGCAGCAGAGCTACTGTACCTCAGTTTGCACTTAGAACAAATCTGTGATGTTGAATGAATAATTAGACACTTAAACTATGAAATCTGTAGCCCAAATCAACTATATTTTGGGAATCTGGAAATAAATCCTTCTTAATTTTTTCCTTAAGCTTCCAGAATAAAGTTTTGTATTCTGAGCCAAGAGTTTAATGAAACTGCTCCCTACTCCATCCCCCAGCTCCCTCTGGAAATATCAAGTCCCATGTGCCTTTTCCTGGAAATGGCTAGAAAAATAAACAATTGAACACCTATAGAGGCAAGGTAAAGGACAGGGTAAAAAGAAACACAGGTGGCTGACAAGTATTTTAAACATTTGCAATCCTTTATATTTCCATTTACATGGACAAGCCCAACTGGTATCACACCCAATCTTAATATAATGAGATTTCCAAACTTTTTTCTTGACAAATACTTGTAAAAAGGTTTGCCAAGAATTTAATCATTTGTTCCTTACATATCACATTTTAAGGCACCAATACATATTTTACCCCTTGAAACAAACTAATAACCTTAGGTATGTGTATATATCTTTCACCTGAAAAGATTTTTCTCCTAAAAAGCTTCGTGTTCATTTACTTTTTTTTTTAATTAAATTATACTTTATAAGTACTAGGGAGCTCGTGATTAAAAGAGTTCTGTGACAAATCCTTTTATGCAGCAAAATAACTGGGCAGGGAGACTGCAATAAAATCCTAGTGTATCTCTTTAATATATTTGCATTTTTACCAGTAGGTACTTACTGATTTGGCTGCTTCTGCCTCCAGTCTGCTATGATCAGAGCTCCTTGCCCCTATTTTTATAGTTTTTTTTTTTTTAAAGGAACATTTACAGAATCCTTGGGTACAGAAGTATAGGAAGGGCTGAAAAACATGACTAGCTTAAGCTGATTCTGGGCAGAACCTCCTAGTTGGCCATTCTTTCCTGAGAAATAATGTTTTCTTCAGTCTTATATTT